ATAGCCAAAAGTGCCTTTAACACTTGTGCTGAGATAAGTCTTTGATTGATTCGTTGAGTCTACTTTCGACAACCCAAAGTCTGCAATTTTAGCTTCCCAACTTTCTTGTAGCAGAATATTTGAGCTCTTGACATCGCGATGTATAACCCCACCATTAATCCCTTCAGCAGTGTGAAGGTAATGTAACCCACGAGCGGCACCTATGCAGATCTTGAGTCGCTGAAGCCAAGATAGAGGGGCACCAAGTCTACGGAGATGATCGTGAAGTGCTCCATTGGGCATAAATTCATAGACAAGGTTCATCTCATTTCCGTAATTACAATAACCAATCAAAGACACAATATTATTATGCTTCAGCCTAGAAAGCATTTCAACTTCGGTTCGAAACTCAGCTGCTCCTTGCAGGGACATGGTATCGTACCTTTTAATGGCAGCAACGACCATATCTGATCCATTGACAATATTACCTTTGTAAACTTTTCCAAATCCCCCCTGCCCAATTACTAATGATTCGTCAAAGTCGTTGGTTGCTTGCTGAATCTCCATAAATTGGAACTGACGACATGGTTGTAAGGAGTAGGAGGAGGATGGTGGTTGAGACTCAATGCCATCGACCGTATTAAAGAACATAATTATGATGAAGTAGAAGTAGAAGCGGAAGAAAGAGACTGAAATGGTTGATCGATGTAAAGATGATGATGTTAATGCATAAAAGTAAACCTGCAAAATGATTATCTTCTTCTAGAAAAGGAAATGGGGCCTGACATATTATAGACTAGACTACAAATTTGGTCCATGAGGTTTGGTGGTTATAACACTTTTGGTTCCTACATTTTCAAAAATCCAGATTCACCATGTGGGCATTCAAAAATAACCAAATTTAGTCCACCCTCTAACGACCGTAAGGAAAATCCATTAAATAAAGGGTACTTTAGTCTTTTTTCACTTTTATTCATCTCCGGTTAGCAACCCTCGCCCACCCCTTTCTCCTCTAGGTTTTCAAACATAACCCGTTGTTTGGGATTTTGATTCCACTACATCACCCATCAAGGGGCTCATATTAAGGTTTTCGGATTCATCTATTAAGCTTTGATTCCAGTATTATACTCATCCTCTAGAAGAATGTGGGAGAAGGCAGGTTTTTGGGGATAGTTGTGTGTGATAACCGGGTTTCGGTTATCTAATTTGGGATGGTTTGAAAGACTTTGATAAGTAAATAATTTTAAATTCCTTATGTGTGATTACCTGTTTAAAATTCTTAATTATTCCACCGCCTATGATTTATATATATATTTTAGTCATGAGGCTGAATGTGAGTGACGAGTTTAATATATTAAAACTTCACCGCCTATGCTTGACATATAAAGATAAGAAGATAAGATTTATCTTGTTTACCTGCTCTGTTTTGAGAGAAAATAAAAGAGAGAAAAGTTACTATGTGTAATCTTGTGTGAAGCTGTTAGAACAAAGAAGTTGGTTATGTGATCATATTTGGAATTTGTTGTTGTGAGATTCATCTTTGAATACGTGCATATAAGGTGAGGTCTGTTATTAAAATTTTATAAGTTTAATATTGGAAATACTTGAACTAATTGATGTTTATGTGGAAGTAAGGTAAACTGGCTTTTTTCAAGCTGTTTGAGTTGAGAAAGGTAAACTTTCTTGAAAGTTGTTTTGAGTTGATATTGAACTGGGTTTAGAACTGTAAAAGTTCTTGATATAAAGTGTATGAGATACAACTATTTTAATGTCATTCTTGGCAAAAATGACAATTTTCGTTATTTTTTATGAGGAAATAAGGGTGGCATATCAAGGAAAGGTATACCATGAGATAAGTTGTACCTTTGGATAAAGGTGGCAATTTTGGAATATGAGTTTTGATCATAACTCTGGTTATCGCATCCATGAGATGCAATGATTCTGAGTTATCAATTATGTGTGATGTGAAGACTTGGAATTATTGCTCTTACTGATATGATAACAATGATGTTGTGCAAAGGAGGAAAATGGCTTATAGCCAGAGGCTTTAATTGTCTATGTTTCGAATAATTAATGTTTTTGGGGATTTTGGATATTTCACTTCAAATTGTTCAAAAGGGTAAAGCTTTGGTGAGAAACTAGAGGAGTTGTGGTTGGTCTTCAAGACTAACCAGAAGGCCTCTACTTGTAGTGGAAAATATCTAAGTTTTTCAAAACTCATTTTGACCTAGTGGCTATGTATCATGAAATTTTAACAAGTACAAGCTTTGTATCTAAGCACTATATCTTAAATCTTGATTTCTAGTATAAATGATAGGCTAGGATCGTCTGTGTTCACCCAGTGGGCAGTATGTCCCCACAGTGGCGGTACAAGTGCACGCCGACACTATGATCGCTTGCAAGTAATAAAGTGGTACAAAGTACCGAGATCATTCCCACAGAGAAGGTACTACTGAGATTTAGAGATTTTTCATGAGCTTCTTGCACGAGTTTCGAGATGTAAAATAAAGTTGGCTTTTTGTTTATAAAAAGACCGAAATAGGACCGATTAGCAAAATAATGAAATAAACTTTTATACTAAAGAATGGGCATGTGTGCAAGTGTTACTTAAGATAAAATTAACAATAAAATAGTTAGACTTTTACGAGTTGTTTATAAAAGTTCCAATCTCTCGAAAGTGAACTTTTATAACCGGGCCTCATAAAATTCCATAAGGTCTTTACGTTTACCACTTCGAGACTTGCCGATCTAGCTAAAAAGTAAAAGGAATGCGATTCTCACTCAAATCTCTTTGTGATAAAAATACATATTACTTAACCCCTAGCTAGATGCATACAAAATTTGCGTCTCCACGTAATTATTCAAAGACCCTCTCGAGTTCTTTGTGCATCACTTAAGCCGATTTCGAATCCGCCCATCTCTGGGTCTAAGATCTAATATTAACACTTCAAAGTGATCAACTTATCCGCATTTTAAGTACTGTCTTAAGTAACCAAGTTACGAAGTGATAAAAGATAAAAACACCAAAATATTATATAAGCATCCTAAGTTAAACTCACACCCCCACCCATACGAGTAATTTAGCTAGACATAATAAAAATAATTAAATACATAAAATAATACTGAAATATAAATTGCATTAATGTAAAACTAAATTACAAGTACAAGGAAATAAAAAAGTAGACTAGAAATTAAAGACATTAATTAAAGACATTAATTAAAAGCATAATAATAATAATAATAATAATAATAATAATAATAATAATAATAATAATAATAATAATAATAATAATAATAATAANAATTAAAAGCATAATAATAATAATAATAATAATAATAATAATAATAATAATAATAATAATAATAATAATAATAATAATAATAATAATAATAATAATAAAGAAAGAAAAAGAGAATGAGACACAAAAAGAGTTTTGTGTCTTGCATGGTGTGTCTTCAAAATGACTCCCCAAGCCTCTTTATATAGGGGAGATGAAGGGAGTAAGTACAACCAATCATTACCTTAAGGGTAATTAGTACAAAGCTAAAAAAATACAAATAAAAATAAAATAGAAGAAGGAAGACAACTCATATACAGCTGGAGAAAATATCTGCTAAATCTTCAAGCTACACGTTTCCCAAGAAGCAGCAACAAGGCTTGTAGACATCCCACAGTGGTGCCATAGTGGGCAGTGCTGTTAGAAAAATACAGGTTTTTGGAATAATACTTCTTCCTTTGTATTTCATCATCTTTTTAAAACTTTTTGGAATAAAAGAGGAAAAAGAAGAAAATTGGATATTTAATAATAACAAAAAGGGAGGAAATAAATATAAAATAACTCTTAAAATTAAGAGTTATCAATAAACTTTATAAGTTTAATTTTTTTAATTTTATATTTTACAACTATAGTTGAGAACCAGAGAGGCTCTGGTTAACTTTCATGTTTTACCAGAAGGTCTCTGGTTATGTTAAAATCTTATTGTTTTCTTATGTCTCATCTTTTTATCTTCCAAAAGTCTTATTCTAGACGGACCAGAAGTTCTGGTCATCCAAAGGGCCTCTGGTTGGTAATGCGTCCTTAGTTATTTTTGAAAGTTGAAAACTAGAAGCTCTGGTTCCAGAGGCTTTGTTCAACCAGAGGCGCTTTGGTTGGCTTAACTCAGAATTTCTTTATACTAAGTTGAGTGACCAGAGGAGCTCTGGTTGATTACTTTTATGTGTTATTATCATTTTTAAGAATAATCTAGATTTCATGATTAAAGTTTTTAATAAACTTTGTTTTGTTTAGCTTTGTTCTGGCTTAAGAGCCAGTCAAGCTTTGGTCTTTATGAGTCAGAGAATCTCTAGTCCTTAAGAGCCAGAGGAGCTCTAGTCCTTAAGAGCCAGATGAGCTCTGGGTAATCCCGCATAGTGGGACACGAGGACTTTGAGAATCTCACATAGAGTGATGCGAGGACTTGAGTGGTTATATGCCATGTGTGTCAAGGCAGATTTATAAACTATTATTGAATTATGATATTTAAGTTTTGTCTTATAAAAAGTTGAAATATATTTGTATGTTTACAACGTTGAATTTTAAAACAGGTTTGGTGAATTTTCACCCTGTAATTGTATAAAAAAGGATTTCTCACTCATTTTGTATTTAAAAATATACATTGCAGATCAGGCATTAGCAAGGGATAAGGGGAAGGGGAAAATGTGAAAYTTTCCTTTTATGCTTACTTGATCATGAAGATCTGTATGTTGTGTGTTGAATTTTTGGATTACTGGTTATCATGCCAGTTATGTACAAGAATGTTATTTTGAAAATTTTTGGTTGTAAATTTCTAATATAGCTTTTTGTACTTTTGGGACCGAAGGTGTACTATTTGTATTTCTTGATATATGAAATACATGTTTATATGCAAATATGGAACCTGGAGCGTTACAAGTTGGTACCAGAGCCTGAGTTTAAGGGATTTAGGTATTCAGCATGATGCCTAGACCTCAACTGTATTATTTGCATATTATGGGTCCCTGGCGTAGATAGAACCATTGAGATAAATATGATGGGTTAAGAGGATAATACTTTAAGTAAATTCGAATTACAACTAGGCAATATAATTATGTATTTACAGGTACATATCTATACTTAGACACCTTATTATATTTAGGAATGTGATTATGTGATTATTAATATTGAGAATTTGCAGATGGCTAATCATTCTCGAAGGTCTGAAAGGATCGCCCTCCCCTACCTAGATGATAGAGAGAATTCACCAATAAATGCTCCAACTAGTGTATCAGAAGGCAGAGGTAGAGGAAAAGGTCGGGCAGAGGTCGTAGAAGAAGTCGTGGGAGAGGAAGAATTAGTGAATCTGAGGTTCATCTAGACCAGGGTGAGTCAATTCCTGGAAATATCCATCAAGCACATGTGCAACAGCCAGAGTATGTGACACGAGATGTATTAGCAGAAGAGATGAGTAAACTGAGAAACACTCTGACATCTATTCTTGGGGTACCAGCCAGAATTGAAACAGAACGAGTCGAGGTAAATCCCCAAATTCAAGCTACAAACAGTAAGGGGGTGATATAAAGTTATTTTTAACTTGTAAACCCCCAATGATTTCTGGGGAAAGAGATCCTGTAAAAGCAAAGTGTTGGTTGAAGG